TGGTCGTCGTCGCCGTTCGTCGTCGTCGCCATGGGGAAATTGGTAGAAGCTCTAGAAGCCCACAAGATGGCTCTGGAGGGTTCCAAGAGGGGCCCGAGAAGCTCGCGAGAGGGGGCCTCGAGAGGGTCCAGTGGGGCCTCGAGAGGAGTCCATGGGGGCCTCGATGGGGTTCACACCGTCTCTCTATTCGTCCTCCTCGTTCTCCCCCCATCCACGACGGCCCGCGCACCATCACCTATCCCCTTCCGCATCGCCGTCGCTCAAAATCCAAAGGATAGCGCAAGGCGGTCGCACATGGGGCTTGGCCCTGATATCATACATTCTGCTGCTGTCAGTTTTCGAAGCGCGTGGTTGGTTGCCTCTCGTGCAAATCATATGTAGGTCGACCGCTTGCGTCTTGGATTTATATGTTAGACAGACCAGTGTGAAATTTGCGGCAAACACAACGTCCGCGGTAAGTCTGGCAAGTGTGTGTTGACCCAGATGGTAAGTCTTGTAAGTTTAATGCGGGTGAGGTGCGCACTTGTACGATAGATGGCGCAATGTGTTGGAGGTATATTTAAAATGATTGCACTGGGCATAGTACTTCTGCTGGCTTAGATCTTGGCCGACACATATAACCATGGTTGCGCAATTAAGCATTTGACTACAGCTCAGATGCGCTTACATTCTACATCCTGCATCGCACCGCGTTCCTGAAGCAAGGCATTCGCAGTCTGAACTCCCTTCTGCTCGCCTACTACCGCCGCCCGACGCCAGTCGGGTACGCGGTAGACGCTCACGCTGCCCGGGACCCCGACGTCAAACCCCCAGAGGGCGCAGCCGCCAGCCCCTCATAGCAAACCCGACGCAACGGATTGGGTCTGTCCATCTGGAGGACCCTGGCGGCCGGGAGACCGGTGGCACCGCTCCAAGAGGCACCGACGGCGAGACCGACCCCCTCTCCGATCGAGCAGACGGGCACCGACCATATGAGCCCCACCCCCGACTGGGGCGGCGGGGGGCGGCGAAGGGGAGTGGCATACCCGCCCGCCCCGTGCCCCAAACCACGAACGCCGGGGCACCGCGAGCGCAAGCAGCAGCCTGGACCAGCCCAGGGTTGCCAGGACAGCTGACGAGCGTCGTCTCGGGTTGGCCCCCGGCGCCAAACCCACAGACGTCGTCTCCGCCCGCGCGCGACAGGTTGGACGCCCAGGCCTTGGCGCCGCGCACCGCGCACTGCGCCTGGTCTTCCGCGGGCGCCTGCCCCAAGGCGGCACCCGCATGGCCGACGAGCCTTGCCTGGCAGCGTCCTTGGGCGCCCGTGTCGACTTCCAGAAGGCCCACCCCCCCAGGTGGGCTTCCTGGCTATTCGCTCGTGCGCGCGCCGCTCAGGTCGCGCGCCACACCCCCAGGTGGCGCGCCCTCCCTCTCCCCTCCCTCGGGTGCGTCCACCCCCCGAGGTGGATTCCCCCCTCATTCCTGGCTGGAGCCCCTCCCCCCCCGGGTGGGCGCTCCCACTCCAGGTGCGTGCTTTCGCAGTAGTACGTGGACCGGTCAGATGCGGGTTGCAACAATTTGGTTTCGTGTGAGGTGGTCGCCATGTTATCGCTGGCGCAGCCTCCCCAGCCGGTCAGGAGGTCCTGGGTAGGGCCTCGCGCCGCCTCCGGTGGCGCTTCCTGCCCCCCCTCCCGTCAGCCGCGCGCCTCGCCAGTGCCGCTCCAGGCGGCCCCTGGTGGCGCGCGCTCGGTGGCGCTTACTCCTTACTCGGCTCCGCCAGGTTACCTGCCCTGCGGCTTTTGCGTCCTCCTCCTCCTCCTCCTCATCATCATCATCCTCCTCATCCTCCTCCTACCCCTCCTCCTCCTCCTCATCCTCCTCCTCCTCCTCCTCCTCCTCCTCCTCCTCCTCCTCCTCATCATCATCATCATCATCATCATCATCATCATCATCACCATCATCATCATCATCCCCCTCCTCCTCCTCCTCCTCCTCCTCATCCTCCTCATCCTCCTCCTCCTCCTCCTCCTCCCTGCTGGGCGCCCGCGCCTGGCCCGTTTCACGGCCAGGCGCCTGTCGGTGGCCTGCCAGGTGCGTTGCTTGCACCGGGCCATCCGTCCACCCCTGCGCCGCTGCAGTTGGGCGCCCCGGCTTGGAGGGTTCTCGGAAGGGCTTTGGCGACCCGTCCTCCTCCTCCTCCTCCTCCTCCTCCTCCTCCTCCTCCTTCCTCCTCCTCCCTCCTCCTCCTCCTCCTCCTCCTCCTCCTCCTCCTCCTCCTCCTCCTCCTCCTCCTCCTCCTCCTCCTCCCCCTCCTCCTCCTCCCCTCCCCTCCTCCTCCTCCTGCTCCTCCTCCTCCCTCCTCCTCCTCTCTCCTCCTCCTCCTCCTCCTTCCTCCCCCCTCCCCTCCATCTCCTCCTCCCCTCCCCCCTCCTCCTCCTCCTCCTCCTCCCAGTCCTCGCCCTCCCCTCCTCGGGTCGCCTACGGCCATGGGGGACACCGTCCACCCCAGCCCCGCCAGAGT